TCAGCTTCACTGAAGCCATCTCCTCTTGCTTCCCCAGCAGTGAGCATCTGCAGAGCCTCCTAGCTTTCTCTGTGGGGAAGAGAAGTGAGCAACGGTTCTCAGCACAGGTGGTGGGAGTGCTACTTTGAAGTTTGTGTGAGCTGTTAACTGGCCACTGAGGGCTGGAGAAATGACTCTGATTAAGAGTGCTGGCTCTTCCAGAGGTCCTGAGTTCAATTCCCAGCCACCACCCAGTGGCTCACAACCATCTATAATGAGATCTGGTGCCCTCTTCTGGCCTGCAGGCATACATGCATACAGAACACTAGATGTAATAAATAAAATCTTTTAAGACTGGCCTCTGCTATAAGTGGCATGGCGCTTGGATGAGGATGGGACAAGCTGGGGCACATCACATGAAGTTGTAGTTCTGCATGGAATGGTGCTGGTGTCTGGAGAGTTTCTGGAATCAGTGGGACAGTTGGCAGGACCTTGCCGGATAGAGACAGCACCATCTCCTGATACTTTATCAAAGCTGTTCAAGCAGCAATCACCTAGGTAGCAGCTTCTTCATTCCCCAAACCTACTAAAGGAGGAACAGAGTAAAGGGATCAACCACTTGGTCCAGAGTGCCCATCAGAACAGCCTCAGCCACTGGGCAGTGGTGGTGTACACCTTTAGCTCCAGCACTCAGGGGGCAGAAGCCAGCCTCCTCTACAGAGTGACTTCCAGGACAGCCAGGGCTACTCATGAAAAACCAAAACTAAACTAAAGCAAAGCAACATCAACCTTCTCCACAGAATGTTTCAAGATTTGGGTTGGCTTTTTCTCCTAACTTTGCCCTTGGGATAGTAGCCATAGGGTAGTTGCTTACACCAAAATGTTGACCAGAAGTCAAGCAGTGCATGGGGGGAACATCTTCCTAAGGAACACAGTGCAGGTTTAAACACCACTGGAGTGGAGGCAGGAAGCAATGTGGGCCTAAGAAAAAGTGAACTGTTTCATTTATTAGGTGACACATTCTCACCCCAAGGACTCATGAAGTTAGGGTAATAGAGTACCCAAAGTGGATACTTAAGATTCTCATGGCCGGCTGCAGGGGGCGCTAAAACTGCTCAGTTCAGTCCTCTTCTGTGGTAGGTTAGATCTGTGGTGTGCAAGGCAAAAACTGAAGGGTCCAGGCCTGGGTTTCTTGTCTAATTAACAGCTATGTCTTGCCATGTACCTCCCTCTGTCCCTCTACCTGATTCCAGATCCTCACAGACCCATGCCTGAATGCCTGCCACCAGGCAACAATGTGTTTTCAAGGAACCAAGAAGTGGAGAGGCAGCAAACATTTGGCTAAGTGCATGGCTTGCTCTTGACTCACCGAACCCATCCTGCCTCTGGTACCTCACGTCTAGGCCAGACCACTGCAAAGCAGTTTGAGTGGGTGAGGATGAGAAATACTGGGAGTCATGAGCAAGCCAGCCCTTGGCTGGACGGCCTAGCTTGTGCACCTTTGGAAGGCAACATCTGCACTCAAAAGTAGCAGTGGCGCACGCCTTTAATCCCAGCACTTGGGAGGCAGAGGCAGGTGGATCTCTGTGAGTCTGAGGTCATCCTGGTCTGTGGAGCGAGTTCCAGAACAACACAGAGAAACCCTGTCTCAAAAACCCAAGGGGGGTCCAGGCCCTCTGGATAAGTGAGACAGTTGACTAGCTTGAACTGTTTAGGAAGCCCCCAAGCAGTGGGACCAGGACCTGTCCTTGGTGCATGAGCTGGCTATTTGGAACCTAGGGCCTATGCTGAGACACTCTGCAACAGCCTTGGTGTAGGGAGGAGGGGACTGGACCTACCTCAACTGAATCTACCAGGCTGGGCTTACTCCCCAGGGGAGACCTTGCCTTGGAGGAAGTGGAAATGGGGGGCAGATTGGGGCAGAAGGCTGGGGGGTGGGAGGAGGAAGGACAAGGGAATCTGACTGATATGTAAATTTAAATTAATTATAAAATTAAAAAAAATAAAAAAAAAAACCCAAGGGGGAAAAAAAAAGTGGTAGGCCAGAAGCCTACCCACCCAGTCCTCTCCCCTCCAGACTTCCATCTCTCAGTTAACTGGGACACTGAGAACACGTTTCTAGCAAAATTTAAAGGACAAAACATCTTTACAAACCATTGAGTCAAGAACCTTTGAGGCCAGCGTTTCTGTTCATCTGTCCCTGCACCAAAGGCTCACTTCACTATAATTTGTCAAACGTGACAGTAAAGAGGCACAGGAATAAACAAACTTGTCTGGGGCAAACTGTACACTGTAACCTGCCTCTCTTTACTGAAAATGATCCTGCCTGGCTGAGTCAGAGGGCCAAGCCTCTCATAGCCGGGGAGTTAACTCAGTGGTAGAGTACTCATCTACCACACACAAGGCCAGGGGTTCAAACCCCAGCACACACATACAAGGCTTCCCTCAACATTTTGTGAAACTTTTCATCAACTTTTTTTTTTCTCGAAACAAGGTTTCTCTGTGTAGATCTGGCTGTCCTAGAACTCACTCTGTAGACCAGGGTGGCCTTGAACTCACCGAGATCCACCCGCCTCTGCCTCCCAAGTGCTGGGATCAAAGGTGTGCGCCATCACGGCCCAGCCCAACTTTCCCTTTTATTAGAGGCCAGTCCAAGGATATCCTACATAGGCAGCTGCCTAGAACCAGCAATGGTGTGTACTCAGGCTGTGAAGCCCAAGAGGCACAGATCAAACAGGAGCCTCCAGGCTTCCCAACAGCCAACGTCATGCTACAAGCCAATCCTCGTGGACGTCTCGGGCTTCTTTTCCAGCCCAGCCCAACATCACATGACTCATTCAGGAGCAACCATTTTCATTGTACTGGACCACACCACTGTCCTTTCTCATGCCATGTCCATTAAGCTACCCACTCTACCTGACTCTCAACATCTCTAACTATCCAAACTGACTTAAAGTTCTAGTTGTGGCAGCCCACACCTTGCAATCCCAGCGCTTTGGAGGCTGAGGCCAGTCTGGGCTACCCTTCAGTAAGGCGGCAATTTCTTTAGCTACTGTAGCTTCACTAGAATGCTTTGCAGACTACTCAGGTCCATGTCTTGCTAACTCTTACTAGTGCTCACTAGCATTCTTCCCTAGTTGAAAAGATGGCTTATCAGTGAGTCTCAATCAAATAAGACATGAAAGCAGGGTACTTGTAGTTGGAAAGGGGCTGGGTGTGGTGGCACATCCTTTTAATCCCAGCACCCGGGAGGCAGAGGCAGGCAGATCTGAGTTGGAGGCCAGGCTGGTCTACAGAGCTAGTTCCAGGGCAGCCAGGGTTACAGAGGAACCAACCAAACAATGAGTAATGGGAGGTAAAAGCGATACCTGAATTATATTCAGGTGTATAACTGAAAAATTTTTTTTACATGGAGAGCAATGGTGGCTCACACCTTTAATCCCAACACAGGCAGGCAGATCTTAGAGCTAAGGTCAGCCTGATGTGAATTCCAGGACAGCCAGGACTAGAGAAACCCTGTCTCAGGGGGGAAAAAAATACACCTACCTGTAGATGAAGTCTTATTAAATAAGAAACCGGCTGTGTTTTTTTTTTTTTTTTTTTTTGGTTTTTCGAGACAGGGTTTCTGTGTAGCTTTGCACCTTTCCTGGATCTCACGCTGTAGACCAGGCTGGCCTCGAACTCACAGAGATCCACCTGCCTCTGCCTCCCGAGTGCTGGGATTAAAGGCGTGCGCCACCACCGCCCGGCACGGCTCTGTGTTTTAATAAGACTGTTCATCTACACCTACCAGCTTATTAGAGCCTGCTGGAAGGATCCACAAAGACCCTCAAAACCTTTTTCCTGTGACACAGTAATTCTAACACTATGGGAGATCTATAAATAAGCTGTCATTAAGCCCAGGCACCATAAATACAATAGCACCACGGATTCTGTCATCAGACCCATGACTTCTTGAAAGCCAGGCAAATGCTCTACCAATTTTTTTTTTTGGGGGGGGGGGAGCTGAGGATCGAACCCAGGGCCTTGCACTTGCTAGGCAAGCGCTCTAACACAGAGCTAAACCCCCAACCCCTACCAATTCTTTTATCTCCAGCCCTCACTGTTTTTATGGAGTATTGGCCTGTTTACATGTTTACAAGTCATTTTCCTTTTTCCATCAAGCAAAGAACTGAAATTAGAAATCTAGATAATAGATGTACTAAAAGCTTTGTGTATTCAATTTAGGTTTGACACTTAGTTGAATAAACAAGTTTATTTGTAAATTTAGTCAACATACATAATTGACCTAAAAACTTCAATAGGATACTTTTAAAAACCACTTGAAGGCCATCTCTATAAAAAGGATTTTGCCAGGACAGCAACCAGGTGTAACCTAACCCATCTTTATTGGCAGAGGCCCAATAAGCTGAAGCTGTACTCTTTACCCCATGTTTAAACTCCACAAGGAAAAAACAATCCTTGTACTGTTTTTCCCCTTAAAGATTAAAAAAGAAACAAAACCAAACTCAATCTAGGTATAAGACCAAACAACACAATGAAAAGCTGCACTAACTAGATTAGTAACAGGTGATGCTGGTGTGAATAGCTTGTTATTTTACTCTAGAGCCCTTATAAATAAAATCCCCGTTAGTGTATGTGTTATCGGGTAGAGGGTTAGTCAACATGTGGTAGAATGAGGACTTATGCAAGGTTTAATACGCATAGCATTTTTTCTACTTTGTTAAACAAATGCAGTCTAGTCAGGAAATACCAACTGGACTAAATTACACACACCTTAATGACAAGACTCCCCACCACTTGTGAATGTAAAACATTTAATTTAAAAATGTTCAACACTACAATATATAAAATAGCTATTATAAATGCACATAGTGTAGTCTATAGCTGCCAGGTTTACTTTCTTCTTCCTTTTTTTTTCTCTTTTTTTAGGAAACTGTTACACTGTGGTTAAAACTTGTATCTTCAACCTTTGAAAAAGCCCACATTCTATCACAGTGATGTATGGTTAAACACTTGGATCAAGTCATAACCAGTTTTATTGCAAAAGGACCCTGTACACATTTATCAATTCTAGTACCTTAATAGCTACCCCAACAAGTCATTAACATACAGAAACATGCATCATGAGAAGCAAGTAGTATCACCCATCCCTTCTGCATATTAGCAACTTGTCACTCCTGAGCCACAGTGCTCACATCACTGAGGTCTGTGAACGTCACTCTTCCCATTCATCCTGAGTGAAAGATGGAATGACTTAAGTACAAATGCAACATATTATAAACAATTTCTTACAAAAAAAAAGTCACAAATTAAACCAAAGTATTTTACAGAATTTACTACAAAATGCCGTAAAAACCGCCTCGACTTAAGCTCTCTCCCCCCGTATCCGGCGAGCCAACTGGATGTCTTTGGGCATGATGGTGACTCTCTTGGCGTGGATGGCACACAGATTGGTATCTTCAAACAACCCCACCAGGTACGCTTCACTGGCCTCCTGTTGAGGACAAGAGCCACAGCATTAACTCCCTCACTGCAGAGACCACGCCGCCGCCCCCAGCGCCAGCAAGCCTTTGTCTCTCTTACCTGAAGGGCACCGATGGCTGCGCTCTGAAACCTCAAGTCGGTTTTGAAATCCTGGGCGATCTCCCTCACCAACCTCTGGAAAGGCAGCTTCCGGATGAGCAGCTCGGTCGATTTCTGGTAACGACGAATCTCTCTCAGCGCCACGGTCCCGGGCCTGCAGCCATCGGAGAAAGGAGGGCGTCACAGGGCACGGCGAGGAGCGGGGGCGCTCGCCCCTGCCGTGCCCGCGGCGGCCAAGGCATTGTTCCCCGCTCCCCGCCTACCTGTAGCGGTGAGGTTTCTTCACCCCACCAGTAGAGGGCGCGCTTTTCCGGGCCGCCTTGGTGGCCAGCTGCTTACGGGGGGCTTTCCCACCGGTGGACTTCCGAGCGGTCTGCTTGGTTCGGGCCATTTTCTCTCACCTGCGGGACGAGCAGCGTTCAAGCCCAGGCGCCCCTCCTCGCGGCAGCAGATGGCGGCGGGAGCCGCGGCCGCCGCCGCCGCCTCCTCCCCCTCCCCTAATGACTCAGGCTGCGCCGAGCCGCGGCGGCGGCCTCCCCCGGGAGGGGGAGCGCGGGGAGGAGCCACTTCCCGCTCCGCGGGCGGCCGGGAACACCGCGTCGGGACCTGTGAGTCACCACCGGGAAGCAGACAGGACGGAGGGGGCGGCGGGCGGGCCGCAACCTCACGGTCAAAGCCAACTTCCCGGGCAGCCTCCCCGCGCCGGCCGGCCGCCCAAGCCCGCGGTCCCCACAGCCACCGAGCCTCCGGGCGCCGCCAGCACTCACCCAAAGCCGAGGTCTGAGGCCCTTGCTGGGACCGCCGCGCCGCTGTTAGCGCTCAAACGGGAGCCGCAATCGCCGAGTAGAACGGAAGACCTTCCTCCAACGAACGACCAAACCGCTCTGCGCTCCAAGCCCCCCGACGCCTCCATTTTTATATAGACGCTTCACGCTGCGTCACGACGTCACAGAACCCTTATTTGCATACACCAACGACTTTTTCGATTGGCGGGAGCTTTCGCCGACGCGCTGACATCTCCCGACACAAAGGCCGTACTTCGGGCCTGTTTCCTGATTGGCGGGTGTTTAGGCCACTGATTGGCTGTTAAAATTGCTTCATGATTGGATGGATGCAAAGAGGAATAGACGAATCAGAGTTTAGCACTAAGCAGCTCTTCTGATTGGATAAAATGGAGCTATGTTTGGATCCTTCTCTTGGTTCCAAAGCTCTACAATAGAAAGTCAATGCAAATGAATTGCACTAGCCTCTCAGAATTAAAGTCCGGCCGGCAAGTGCCTAAGACTATTTGCATCAAAAGAGCACTTCAGAAAGATTTTACGAAAATGTATAATAATAATTCCAATGTAGAATAAAATGTGTTCCCTGAATTATTTACTTTTTGCTAAATTTTGATTATTGAGTACATTGTGAGAAATGTAATCCTGTAAATCATGTTACAGTGTACAGTGTTTTGTGTATCATGCATACATATTTTAAACCAAAAAGCAATTGTTTGGTGGGGAAGTGTGATAGATACAAAGAATCAAATTTCAAAAAATTATTTCAGAGTTGAGCAGTGACCCTCACTGTAATCTCAGCATTTAGGCAACTCAGAGGCAAGCGGATCGCTGTGAGTTTGAAGCCAGCCTAATCCACATAGAGGGTTCCAAGCCAGCCAGGCCTGCATAATGAGATCTTGTCTTTATAAATCTTGTTTTTTTTTTTCCCTCCAGTACTCCATAAACCCAGCTTGGGGTGTTCACCTGTAATATGGGGAGATGATGCAGGATCCAAAAATCAAAGTCATTCAAACTACATAATTCAAGGCCAGTCTAGAATATATATCACACTGTCTCCAGAAAAAAAAAAAAAAAAAAGCCAAAGAAGCTGACCTTTAATCCCAGCACTCTGGAGGCAGGCAAAATCTATGTGAGTTTAATGCTGTACCAGACCAGCCAGGGCTACACCGTGAGACCTTGTCTAAAAACAACAAAGGGCCTTTTTTCCACGTGTTTAATTCAGATCACCACGAAATATTTTATTTCAATGTACTTAAAGGTAAATAAAAAGTTGCCAGGCATGGTAGCACACACATTTCTTTAATCCCAGGCCCCTGGAGGCAGAGGCAAGTGACTTTGAGGCCAGCCTGGTCTATAATAAGAGTTCCAGGACAGCCATAGCTACATAGTGAGACCCTGTCTCAAAAATCAAGCAAACAGCTGGGCGGTCGTGGCACACGCCTTTAATCCCAGCACTCGGGAGGCAGAGCCAGGCAGATCTCTGTGAGTTCGAGGCAGCTTGGGCTACAGAGTAAGTTCCAGGAAAGGCACAAAGCTACACAGAGAAACCCTGTCTCGAAAAACCAAGAAAAAAAAATCAAGCAAACAAAAGGGAAGTAATTATCTGGTTATATATTTCTTGAATTATTTAATTCAATTGTATGAAATAAATACACCAGGAGAGGCAACAGTCCCAAGAGGCTATCAATATGGGTCCACAAGGAAAAGATAAAGGAAGTGGATGTCCTTGTGTAATACTTGTACTTGATGATTATTACTTCTAACAAAAACCTGATAGATTTGTAGAAACACCAATATTTGTAGATTTTGTTTGTTTGTTTGTTTTTTAACACCAGGGTTTCTCTGCATAGCCCTGGCTGTTTTAGAAGTCACTTTGCAGACCAGGCTGGCCTCGAACTCAGGGATCTGCTGGGAATAAAGACCCATGTTACCACACCCATCTTCTTTTTTTTTTTTTTAAAGACCATGATGGCTGAACTCACAGGGCTCTACCTGCCTCTGGGGTTAAAGTAGTGTACTGTTATACCTGGCTTCTACACTTATCTGCTTCTGTTCTGAGAGATAGTCTTACTAAGTAGTCTAGGATAGACTTCACCTTGTGGCAATCCTCCTGCCTCTGCTTCTTTTCTATTGTTGTTGATTTTAAGACAGAGTTTCTCTCTGTAACAGTCCTGGCTGTCCTGGAACTCAATTTATAGATGAGACTGGCCTTGAACTCAGAGATCCACCTGCCTCTGCTTCCAAGTGCTGGGATTAAAGGCGTGTGTGCCGCCGCCGCCGCCGCCGCCGCCGCCGCCACCGCCGCCGCCGCCGCCGCCGCCGCCGCCGCCGCCGCCGCCGCCGCCGCCGCCGCCGCCACCACCACTACCCGGCCCTGCCTCTGCTTGGAGTGCCAGGATTACACATGTGCCATCACACTCAGTTATTCTCCTCCAGGTTTTGATAATGTCAAAAGTAATCTAAAACCTTCCCCGGGGAAAAAAACAAGATGTAGATGTCATCCATCTAAGAATTAAAGCAGTGTGTCCCCCTTTGGGGATAGTTAATATGGGGTTTTCTCTTTCCTAAATTGACAATTGGAGGAAAAGTAGCACAGGACATGGGGAGGAATTGGAAGTACAACACAATCAACACCAAACAAGTGAGGTGGGGCTCAAGAGTAGAGTGCGCTTGCTTGACATGGGGAGGTGATCCCACGCACTGCAGTTAGAACGGCAGTAGATACAACGCACCATCGATGGTCCTATTCTAGTTCCTTTCCCTTCACTAACTTGCTGAGTGACTTTCTGCAAGGTACTTAACTTTTCTGGGTTTCGATTCCCTCTTCAGTAAATTAAGCAATCTGGATGATATCATCTCACAATTCTACAGTACGTGTTTATTCAGAATCTCTTTTAACAGTCTTTTTTTGTTTGTTTGTTTTTTGTTTTTGTTTTGGTTTGGTTTGGTTTTCTGAGACAGGGTTCCTCTGCATAGCCCTGGCTGTCCTGGAACTTGCTCTGTAGCCCAGGCTGGCCTCGCATTCAGAGATCCATCTGCCTCTTCCTCCTGAGTGCTGGGATTAAAAGCGTGAGCCACCACCACCACCACCCGGCCTCGTATTATAATGCTCTTATGATTAAAAATTAAGTCTATGAGATGTAGTTTCTGTTGTGACTTCACACTTGGGGACTTCAGGGACAACATGCAAGCCAATTCTTTGGATTCAATCATAAGAATAAAGCCATTCATTATCATTTCTATTTCTCCTTTTGGAATCCTTCATCTTCAAACAGCTCTAGCGGCAAAACAATTGACTTCGCCTGTTTAGGAATTACCAGTTCGTCAGAACTAAATAAAAAAAGTATGTGTCATTCTTGAACACTAACAATTTCCATTCGCCCCCCCCCCCCCCCACCTTACTCTTCAGGTTATTGGAAATGAGCTTTCACTCCCGGCCCCACCCCCTGCTTCTCTTTTTGTTATTGTTTTGTTTTTTGAGATAGGGTTTCTCTGAGTAGTCCTGGAACTCACACTGTAGATAGACTGGTCTCGAACTCACAGAGATCCACCTGCCTCTGCCTCCTGAATGCTGGGATTAAAGGTGTGCACCACCACCGCCTGGCTTCCCCATTTCTTTTGAGAGAGATTCTCACTATAGAGAGTGGAACTGGCCTGGAACTTTCTGTATAGATCAAGCTGGCCTCAGATTCACAGAGATCCATCTCCTCTGTGTTCAAGTGCTGGTTTTAAACAAGTACACCCAGCTTTTCTCTTTAAAAACGGTTTCAAACCAGGCGTCGGTGGCACACGCAGGTGGATCTCTGTGAGTTCGAGGCCAGTCTGGTCTACAAAGAGAGTTCCAGGACAGCCAAGACTTATACATAGAAACCCAGTCTCGAAAAACAAACAAGAGGCAGACAGATCTCTGTGAGTTCAAGGCCAACCTGGGCTAAAGAGTGAGTTCCAGGAAAGGCGCAAAGCTACAACAGAGAAACCCTGTCTCGAAAAAAAAAAAAAAGAGAAACGAAAAACAAACAACCCAAAAGGGTTCAAGGTTATATTTATTTATGTATTTGTGCCCTGGTACAAGTAGAACCTGCTCTTCTCCCACCATGCAAGGGATCACACTGAGATCTCAGACTTGGTAGCAAGTACCTTTAACCCTGAACTATCTTACTGGCCCTCTTTTTCTTTATTTCTTTTTTTTTTTTTTAATTTGGTTTTTGGTTTTTCGAGACAGGGTTTCTCTGTGTAGCTTTGTGCCTTTCCTGGATCTCACTGTGTAGCCCAGGCTGGCCTCAAACTCACAGGGATCCGCCTGGCTCTGCCTCCCGAGTGCTGGGATTAAAGGTGTGCGCCACCACCGCCCGGCTTTTTTTTCTAAACAGGGTCTTGCTATGCAGACCTAGCCTTGGATTCACTACAGCTGAGACATCTTAACTCCTGACCCTCCCACTCCCATCTCGTCTAAGTGCTGGAATTACAGGTGCATTTGGTGCTGAAGACTGAACTCGGGCTTTACTTATTCCAACTAAGTTACATCCCAGCCAAAATGCATTTCTTTAATAGACCATTATTAACTAACATGATCTCATTTAACAAAACAATTACGTTTTGGAAACAACAGATTTGACCAGGTGTGGGGGTGCAGGCCTGTAATCCCAGCACTTGGGAGCCAGAGACAGGCAGGTCTCTGTGAGTTCAAATCAAACCTGATCTATGTATCAAGTTTAAACCCAGCCAGGACTACACAGAAATAGCCTGCCTCAAAAACAACAGCAACAACAGGGACTGGAGAGATGGCTCAGTGGTTAGAAGCACTGGCTGCTCTTCCAGAGGACCTGGGTTCAATTCCCAGCACCCACATGGCAGCTCACAACTGTCTGTACCTCTAGCTCTAGTGGATCTGACATCCTCACACCAATGCACATAAAATACATTTAAACAAAGCAACAACAACAAAAATATGATTCCAAATAAAAGAAAATTAATTTGAAATATATTGAATAAAGAAAACAAGTTCGGGCTGGAGAGATGGCTCAGAGGTTAAGAGCACCAACTGCTCTTCCAGAGGTCCCGAGTTCAATTCCCAGCACCCACATGGTGGCTCACAACCATCTGTAATGAGATCTGGTGCCCTCTTCTGTGTACATAATAAATAAATAAATCTAAAAAAAAACAAAACAAGGTCAAACAGAAAGAATTACATATCCCTGTAATGGACATTTTTATTATTTGGTTGTGTATGCATGATGTGTATGTGAGAGGGGCAAGGGTGCACCTATGGGGAAGCCAAAGGACAACTTTGTGGAGTGGGTTCCCCCCTTCCACCTTCACAAACAGTTCCAGGGATCAAAATCAGGTTACAGCCTTGCAAAGAAAGCACTTTACCCCTGACCCACGCCCCGCTCCTGTCTTTTTGTTGTTCTTGGTGTAGATTTTAGACAGAGCATAGCTCTGGGTGACCTGCAACTAACTAAGTAGACCAGGCTGACTTTGACCCTACAGAGGTCCACTTTCCTTTGCCTCCTGAGTCCTGGGATCAAGGCATGTGTCACTCCACTCTTCTTTTTTGAGATAGGGTCTCAGTATGCAGCCCAGTTTAGTCTGGAACTTGGTGATTTTCCTCCCCCCCAGGCATGTGCCACTATATTCAGCCTGTAGAGATCTTTTCATAAAACCAAATGCCTAAATGTGAAACCCTGTATTTTCCCAAACAAAAAGGTTTTTCCAGAACAGGAAACCAGAGTGGATTATAACTCATTCCTTACTCAGATCCTGGCCCTTTATATGGAGTCTACCGCGATGCTTCTCAACAATTTACCCGTGTACCAAAGAGACTACTCTACATAGAGATTAAATTCGCCCTTGGACCTTAAGGTACTGGAAACAAGGTGTTTGGGCCAGCCACTGAGTTCAGAAGGAGCCCAGGTTTCAGGGTTGGTAAATGTTAATGAGGCGCGGGAACAATATGGGGTAGTGTAACTCTTCTTTAATAAAGCTTCCTCAAGCTGTCTGCCAGCCGGCATACTTTCTCTGGTGATTTACAGGTTACTACCATCTCATGAAGACGTTGGCTGACAAACTTGCTTGCTTGGAGGCAATGCTCTAGACTGACTTTAGAAACCATGCGCAAACTGTACTGGTAAGGAGGCAAGGTAATTACTGCACGTTGGCAGTGTAATTACACTTGGAACATTCTCGGTGGCGTCGTTTAGGGCCTCCCTAACTGGCTTCTCGGCTCGCAAGGTTCCAGTTTCAAGGAAGAGCTTTCCTCCTACCCTACTGAAAACGCACTGGTAATAGTAAGCGTGACTAGACTACAATTACCACAAGCCATCGCGGGTCCTACACATCCGGGACACGGTCCGCAAAGATCCCTGGGTATTGTGGTCTTGCGCTTTGGCAGCGACCCTGTGCCAACGGTAAAATTTCAGCTGAAAGGAGGACCACAACTCCCAGCAATCTTTGCTGCCGTGCGGGGGGTCTTCACGTTCTCGTGGCGCGGCGCAGGCGCTGTGGGTCTTCGGCGCGGACCGCGCAGACTGAATAATAAAAGGGGAGCGGCGAAGAGGCAGGAAGACAGGACCATGTCGAAGGGCCCCGGGCCCGGCGGCTCGGCAGCTTCCTCGGCGCCCCCGGCCGCTACCGCTCAGGTGCTGCAGGCACAGCCCGAGAAACCGCAGCACTACACGTACGTAGAGCCCCCCCCCCCCCGCCGCGCGCGCACGCCTGACGTCAGCGGCCAGCGTGAGTCACGCGCGCAGGGAGAGCGCGAGGCTGTCTCTCCCTCCCCCCCTTTCCTTCTGTAGCTCGGCCCAGACCGGTTCCAACCTGCTGGGGCCGGTCCCAGCTTCCTCAACTGTCACCAACCCCTGGTCGGGCCGTGGGGCGGGAAACTCGGTCCCAGCCTCCGAGTTGGGAAGGCAGGAGCTCGGGTCCCGAGTACACACTTCTCAGGGTAGGCCTTGAAGGCCTGACTCTTCCTCAGACCATAAAACCACGGTTCCAGGCTCTTTGGGAGCGATAAGTCCACGACATGACAAGTCGAATTCTGTAGCAACCAGCCCTGGACCTGCATAGAAATAATGACTGTTTGCTTGAAGTCTTGTTAGGAGATTCCGTGCACCTCAGGTCTTTTGTATCTCGAAGGCCTCCTGTTGTCCACGAGGATCACCCACGCTTGAATTCCCTTAGACAGTCAAACGTGCAGACACGGGATCACTCTTTGCAGTCCAGCCTGTGAGGGAGCGACTCCCAGGATACTGTATGATTTCAGACCCCTTCAGAATCTGGCAAGAGAGGGAGCTTCAGATAGCGACAGTAAATGAGATTGTCAAAATGGAAGACCCCTGAAAAGCTGCATGTGTGCAAGCGTAGGTCCCTGCCTTCATTGCTGGCATGGCACATTGGGCCTAGGTGCTGTGGGACAAAAGGCCAGTGATGTGGTTCCTCTTGTAAAGCGGCGTGGGTTTCCGTTCCCTGCTGTGTCAGGAGTGTGCCTCTCGTCCCCTGTAGGTGCCTGAGCCATGTCCCATGGAGATTTCAGAACCTGAGAGGTTGAACAACACTCAAGTTCAGTAAGCCAGGAGACTGTTGGGAGTACAGAGAATTAAAAGCAGGCAGGGGGAGCTCTGGCTTGAGACCCAGAAGGCCTTTTGGGAGATGAGCCTGGGAACATCGGTTATAGGAAATGTATTGGTTTCTTTGAGGGACTCTACAATGTTGGCTGGCATCTAAGCTTGACTTCAGTGTAACTCAGGTTAGACTTTGAGTTTGTTGGTTCTTTCTTACTGGAGTTCTCTCCACAACCTAGCCATTGCTTTTGGTGATGAAGGTCTAACATTAGAATAATGTCACTTGACTTATCTAGCCACACAATAGTGTGGTCTTGATTTGCAGATCTGTAAACTGAATTGGAACTTATTTTTTATTACACTGATTTATTTGTATGTAAATGTGTGTGGGAACACACATGCCATGCACAGGTATGGAAATAAAAACAGTTTGAAGGAATTGGCTCTCTCCTTTCACCATATGCGTTATGGGGATTAAACTCAGATGGCTGAGCTTGGCAACAAGTGCTTTACCAACTCTGCCATCTCACAGCCCAGAGCTTGTGTTGAAGTGTTAGAAACTGAACCCAGGGAGGGGCTCTACCATTGAGCTGTGTCTACACACACACACACACACACACACACACACACACACACACTCAGTTATTTACTATTTATTTAGTTATTTTTGAGCTAGGATCTCACTAAGTTGCTTGGGCTGGCCTTGAACTTCTGTAACCCAGACAGGTCTTGAACTCTTGAGTAACTGGGATTACAAATCTGTGCCATTGGGCCTCATTTTGGAACTTTTTAATGACCTTTGGTTGCTTGGATCATGGTTTTCAGTCCAATTCCAAACAAACTTGAGTAAATCTTGGTTTCTTTTTGTGGATGTGTGTGTGTGTGATGCATTGTGCACTTGGAGATCAGGGGAGGACGTCAGGTCAGATGTTCTATAAGATAGGTTCTTTGGGGGCTGAAGAGATGGCTCTGTGGTTAAGAGCACTGGCTGCTCTTCTAGAGGTTCTGGGTTCAATTCCGAACATGGTGGCTCATAGCTGTCTATAGTCTCATGGGGATCCCATACCTTCTGGTGTGCAGAAATACACATAGACAAGACACCTATGTACATAAAATAAATACATCTTTAAAAAAAAAAAGGTTCTTTTACTGAACCTGAAGCTTGGCCTGGTTGGCTGCCCAGTGAGCTCGTGGGGGTCCACTTCCTCAGACCTCCGATACTGGGGTTATGAACATATGTGGCCATGCCTGACTTTCACATGGTGAGGACAGTTCAAACTCAGGTTCTCATGCCTGGGCAGCAGATGCTCTCACCCACAGAGCCATCTCCATAGCCATTTTATTTGTTGCTCAGATTGGCCCCCCATGGGGGAGCCTTTTCTCTACCTCATTCTCCAGAATTCTGGGATTACAGGATGTGGCTGCCACAAGTAGCTGCAGCCTGTGTTACTGTGTTGTGTTGTCATTGAGATAGGATGAAGTTACATTAGAATGGTTTTCTGGCAGATGAAAGGAGTCGACACAGTATAATTGTCAGTGTCTGAATTGCTTGTTTGTTTTTCAAGATAGGTTTTCACTATGAAGTTCTGACTATCCTGGAACTCACCATGTAGACCAGACTGGCTTTGAGCTCACAGAGATCTGCCTGCCTCTGCCTCTCAAGTGCTGGATAAAGATATGTGCCACTGTGCCCGACTTAGCATCTGAGTTTCTAAACAATTATTTTTATGTGTCTAATTTTGTCCACATGTGTGTCTGTGCTGCAGGGCATATCTGGTACCCTTGAAGGCCAGAAGAAACATTAGGTCCCCTGGAACTGGAGTTACAGATGGTTGTGAGCTGCCGTGTGGATGTGTGGGTGCTGGGAATCAGACCAGGGTCCTCTGCAAGAGCAGCCAGTGCTCTTAGCTCCTGAGCCATCTCTCCAGTCCTCATATCCGAGTTTCTGTCCTCTTGATTCTTTCTTGACATTTGTTCTCCTGTTCCTTGAGAGTTGATGCGTAGTCGTGGAACTTGGCTCCTAAGGCATCTTTATTTATTTATAAGAACATTTACTTACTCTGTGTGTGTGTGTGTGTGTGTGTGTGTGTGTGTGTGTGTGTGTGTGTGTGATGAGGACAATGTGTGGGAGTTAGCTCTTTCTTTTCTCCAGATGGGTCCTAGGAATCAGCTTTGGTGGCAAGTGCCTTTGCCTTCTGAACCATCTCACCAGCTTGAGACAGCTTTTAAATCAACGGGAGTTAATGAAGTGCTCAAGCTCAACTGGAAGATGGAGGTTACTGATAGTTTTGTCTTTGTGTATATATCTTTTTATCTACCAAAAAAAAAAAATCAGAGAAATCTGCTGTCTGTTGAGGTAGATTCTGGCATTCAGAAACAGTCACTTGGATGACTTGATCATCCAGCTCCGAGTTTGGAAAGCGTGAGGACACAGGTGTTACAGATACAGTTGGTGTCCCTGACGTGGCCTGTGTTACTAAGGTGAACTCAGTTGTTGTCCTTGGGGATGAGGGGCACTGAAAGGTTTTTTTAGTTTTTTGAGACAGGGTTTCTCTGTGTTGTTTTGGGGCTTGTCCTGGAGCTCTCTGTAGACCAGGCTGGCCTTGAACTCACAGAGATCTGCCTGCCTCTGCCTCCTGAGTGCTGGGATCAAAGGCACCTGGCTAATAGAAAAGGTTTGACCTACATGGACCCAAATCTAGCACTGGCAACTAGAAGAAATTGGGCAGGGCAAGCCTCACAGGAAGTTATGGACAGTTGTGAGTTCCCACATGGGTGCTGGGAATTGAACCTGGGAAGAGCAGCTAGTGCTCTTAACTGTAGAACCATCTCTCTGGCCCCAAAATGTTTTGTCTTTTAAAACTTCCTGACTGTTGCTTTGGGACAGTTCTCTCAATGAAGCCCAGCCTGCCTCAGACTTAGGATCTTCCTGCCTGTCTTCCTTTCGGGTGCCATCACCTGGCTTTTGTGTTGTCGTTTTGTTTTGTTGGAGGCAGGGTTTCATGTGGAAGAGGACCCTGGCCCGCCTGCCTCCACCTCCCCGCTGCTGACCAGGAAGGCCGAAAGGTTTATAGAAAGAGTAGTTGGAGGATAGTTATTTTGATACTTCCCCTAATGTTTTGTTTTCTTGAAACAGGGTTTCTCTGTGTAATAGCCTGTGCTGGAACTCCTTCTGTAGACCAGGCTGCCCTCACAGAGATCTGACTGCCTCTGCCTCTGGGATTAAAGTTGTGAGCCACCACTGTCCAGCCCCCCTAATCTTTTCAGTAATCTTGCATTAAGGGAAATTGAAATAATCCATTTAGCAAATGGTTACTGCCACTTGTGCTAGACTTGAGGAATCCAGTTCTTGTAGAAAATATTATTTTGTCAAGAGTTCTGTCTGTTGTCTAGTTCCAAGTATTTGATTAGCATTCAGGAAAATGATGGTGTGTGTGTGTGTGTGTGTTAATACATTTGGAGTCTATCCTGAAACTCACTCTGTAGACCAGGCTGGCCTTGAACTCAGAGATTCACCTGCCTCCCAAATGCTGTGATTAAAAGTGTAAACTACCACTGCCCAGATTTAAGAATAGCAAGTTTTGGGCTGGAGAAATGGCTCGGTAGTTAAGTGCACAGGCTGCTCTTCCAAAGATCCTGAGTTCAATTCCCAGAACAACATGGTGGCTCACAACCATCTGTAATGGGATCTGATGCCCTCTTCTGGCATTCAGGCATACATGCAGACAGAGCATTCATACCTTAAAAAAATAATAATAGCTGGGCGGTGGTGGCGCCCGACTTTAATCCCAGCACTTGGGAGGCAGAGGCAGGCGGATCTCTGTGAGTTCGAGGCCAGCCTGGTCTCCAAAGCGAGTTCCAGGAAAGGCGCAAAGCTACACAGAGAAACCCTGTCTCGAAAAAAACCAAAAAATAATAATAATAATAATAATAAAAAAAAATAGGAAAGTATTATGATAATTATATCCTATAGTGTGTTCAGAAGTATAGATTTGGGAATCCATATAACAAGTACATTAAAAATTAGCTGAGGAAGCCAGGTTATGGTGATACACTCCCTTTATTACCAGCACTGGGGAGGCAGAGGCAGGCAGATCTCTGAGTTCCAGGTCAGCCT